CAGCAGCTCCAACCCAATTCTAGCTTTAAATCAAAACACACAAGATTAACAAGAGTAAAATGTGCAAGACAAATGTTGTAAGCAATCTACAGTATTTCTACAGCTTTTCTTCAAATACTTGCTTCTTCAAATACTTGCTAAGTGCAGTATGACTAAATGTAAGCCAGGACTCCAAATCTCTCAAGATTTTTGAAACTTACTACATAAAAATTGGTAGAGCGGGGACCAGATATGGGCTTAGGGAGCAAATTCACTCTTGCTCTTCTCCCAAAAGGCAAGGAAAAAGCTACATTATCTTCACGGAGTGAAGGCAGATGTGACAGCAGCTGCAGCAAAGCAGCATGCCCCTCCTTTTCAACATTCCCACCTTCTCAGACAAATACTTTTTCCTACCCCCTCCAGTTCCTCGGTAACAAATCATGCCTGTGCATCTGTCTAGAATGAAGCATAACAGGAGTGTTTGCTGGCTGGGTAGGAAGACAACTGGCCGTCACTTAGATTACCCTGTGTAGGTGATCTAAGTTGGTGAATTCTGCACAGTAATATTATTTCAGTGCTAAGAACTGTTCCACTTGACCCCCATCTCTCTCAAAAGAGAACTTACAAGCATTGTATAGGTTTTGTAGACAGTTTAAGTTATGCTTAATATTATGGGTTTTCTATCAATACATTTTCTTTCACATCCAAATCGTAAATCTGAAATTTGTAATTACTTCTTCAGTGCACGTGGTAAATATGAAAGCTCATGACAGATCAACAGCTGTTTGGATATAGAGAACATGCTGAATCTTTTCTCAGTAGTTACACAGGGAGTTTTCTACTAATAATGTTGCAAATCCTGGACGCCCTTTGCCAGTGCAGGAGCATGAACTGACTGTCAGGACCTAGATTGCTTGATTTAAATCTCCCAAAGTGATGAACTCATCAGAAAACAACTGCAAATTTCCTCACACCAGCAATGACTTGCAGAAAGCAGAAACAGGCAGATGTAAAGCTATCACAATGGTTATCCTTTTCTGATAGAGACCATAATCACTTTTCCTATAGAGGTGTTTAATGTACTGAGGCAAAGGTAAACAAAACATGGTACCTAGAGAGTTGCAGAGGCAACTTAACAAGAAATAGTTTATGACCCTGTGAGAGGTCTCCTTACCCGTCCTAGCAAACCACTTCTTTCAGGACTGTCTTACCCTTTGCTCTGGTCACCAGAGAGCAAAGTTGAAGTTAATTGTTAAAGAGAAAAAAAAAAACAAGAACAGAAAAAAAAACACAATATACACCACCCCAAAACAAAAACGAAAAAAAAAGCCATACACAAAACCCAACAAAAACGGAAAAACAAACACAGTACTAAATGTGAGCATGCACTGAAGTGCCTTGGTTTATGCAGAGGATTTAGGTTAGTTCCACACTTCCACATTTATGCTTTTGCAATACCTGAAATAAGCTAATTTAAGAAACATAAAATACCCAGACTAACTTTTGGTAGAAGTAAGGATTACTTCGCACACACAAAATTTTTTTAAGAACAACTCAAAGCCACACAAATGTGGGGTTTTTTGCTTGTGTTTTAGTGTTGTTAACCTCCCTGCAAACTATCCATTACTTAAGTCTATGACAATCCACACTACTCATAAAGTTTTCTGACTTGTTGGATTTTTCATTCAAAGTACCTCTTTCTCAGTAATCATATCTACCAGAATGCTCTAGTCTAATGATTACTGAATAAAACCCAACAACTATGGACTGTAAACCATGACAGATGTCATTTTCTGACAAGTTTACTTAAGGGAGACACCTTCCTCCAACCTCTAACAGAAATACTGAGCGACATTTTAAAATTCCATACTCTGTTACCTCTTATGTCTTTCACTAGTTAATAAAATTCTGAAAGTGGCAGACTACTATACTTTCCTCATTAGTAAGGGGAAGTTACTGTACAAGTGAGGCTTATTTTTCACAGCAAAACCAAAGATCTCATGCTCTAGCAGCACAGTGCAAATGTTTGCTTACCAGTACACCACATTTAATTTCTTAAAAGGCAGATTTCAGAAAACAGGCAGTGACTAATTTTTGCAAGTAAGAAAGCAGAATAACCTGATACGTGCTGCTGTTACCAGTCAGCAACGCACTTGAAAAAATACTGCAGTTAGCACTCAGTGTTAAGGGGTTAGATCTTCACCCCACTCCATTAAGATATTAAAAAGAAGGGATTAATCCCATAGGGATAATTTTCTCTACAGAAGTATCATTTAATAAAAGGAAATGGAGAGTGCTTAAGAGATACAGGTTTCTAGCAGATAGGATCCAAGTGCCGTCATGGGAAATACAGATAGAAGTAACTCTTCCATTGTTGATAAAGGTCATTAGATTAGGAACAGTAAAAATAAGAACTTAGTATCTATACAGATTTAAGATCTTACTCCTCTGTAATTTGCTAGGTTTGGTGCTCTATTTGAAGGCCCAAGAAATACAGTAACTTCAAGAATCATATATATATATATCGGCTTTCAAATGAAGCATCACCTCATGCTGTGGTCAAAAGCTGATAAATTCAAAACTGACATTCACTTATCAGTTGTTTACAAATGCAACTAGAATGCTTGTAGTCCCGCCCAAGAGTGTTTTTATTAGCCCAAGGCATTATAACTACTTGCAAATAGCAATATTATACAGTTAAAGCCCTTCTCACAGAACTTAACAAAGAATCACTTGCCCATTTCATAAAAATAAAAAGCAAAGCACATAGACCCTCTACATTTAGTAAGTAAAGAGCCATAAAAGGCATAGCCTTTTATGTATTAGCTTTAGTGCCTCACAGTCAACTATTGCTCAACTTACTGATTTGCACACCATGGCTGGTATATGCAGACAAATTCTCAGTAACAAAGAAAATTAAAAAATAGTTCAAGGTCAAAGTGTTGCTTAGAAATAGCAGAGTTAAGCATAAAAAGTGAGTTCCCACTTTCCAAACCTATTTTTGCTTTCCCCCTGCCCTCCCCAACTACCACAGCTACATTAATGGAAGGTATATGATAATTCTTAATAGGCTTTTCCAGCCAAAGTATCACAACAGCAAATTTCACCTAGCTCTAATTATATACAGTAATCTGCCCAAAAGCATGTACGAATTCTGATTTTGTGGAATATATTTACCTTAAAACCCTTTTGAGCTATATTACTTCAAAGTTTTACAGAAGGAAAAAAAAAAACAACCCAGCACATGTTCTCAGCTTCCTCTGGTGGAGTTATCTGGGAAGAAACTGCAGTATGATCTGACCTTAGCAGCTGTACTTGGTCTTACTAAGATGATCCATTTATAAACAGCTAGAATTGAAGGGACCAGCAAGAACACAGGATTTCTCAAAGCAACATGGAGCTACAAGGCTAGCAAAAAAAAGAAAACGGCAGGATGCACTTTCTCATATAACTCCAACAGAGTTGCCCCCTCCCTGCATAGAGCCCAAGACGAGGCAAAGTCCAAAGCAACAGCTGCTTAATTTAAACTGACAACAAACAGACTCATTCAGGTTAGAAGAGATGTCCCACTCTTCATCTTAAAAGCACACATCGTTAAAAAACCCAAATATTAATGTAATGAAAGAGTCGATGAAAAAACTACAGTTCGATGCATATAAATATTTTTTTAAATGCAAAGCATTCTCTCAGAACAGTATAGAAAGCAGTTACACAGCTTAGTTCCCCTTCAGTATTATCCAGTCCCCACTGCTGTAACAGCTAAGTAGATATTCTATGACCTTATCTAGATGCGAAGTCTTCGCAACACTGTCACCCATATTCAGCATAACACCACAGCACGTCAGAGGACCCAAACAGGGCCCAGATTAAAGCACTACCAGCTCTAATTTTTTATTTAAGCTTGTGGTTGTGCAGTCGAGAGAAAAAAAAAAAACAACACAACAAACACAACAAGCAGAAAAAAAAACAAAAAAAGAAGCCCAAAAAAAAAAACCTTCAAATTGCAACAACTGTATAGTAACAGAACAAGAAATACACAATCTTGGACGCTGCAGGAGGCGGCAAGTAAAGCTTCCTGAAAAGCGAACGAATAAAAAACCAAACTGCCTAGCTCCATGGAGCGGTGGAAACAACGAAAAGCCGCCGGAAGACAGCGCCGGGCCGAGCCCGAGTGACACAACGGGCAGAGCACCAAAAAGAGCACGGCCGAGGGGACGGGCCGCACAGCCCCAGGCGCAAGCAGGGCTGCCCCGGCTCAACAGGTCTGCCTCTAAGCGGGAGCCTGACAAGGCACCCCTCACCTCTCCAGCCACCGCCAAGCCTCCACCGCCAGACACCGAGGTTTCTTCCCTGAAATAGAACTTGTATTATTTTTCCTAGCTGTCCCGCGTCACACCGTGGGTGCGCTGACAGGGCCCGGCGGCCGTGCAATAGCACGGCATTAAGAACAGCCTCCTCCACAAGACAACACCTGGCTAAAACGGAGAAAAGGCCCGGCTTACCCGGCAGCTACCTTCCTCACCCGGTCCTCAGCTAGCCCAGAAACCGGTTGGGACGGAATACAGCTACCAGAACACCTCCCCGGGCACAACCTAACGCGGCCAGGCAGGCAGCCAAGCCGCATCCGCAGTGCTGCCGGCTGCCCTCGGGCCCCTTCCCTGACCGCCCTCACCACTCACCTGACAGACGCTGCCTTAAACAGCCCCCTGGCCAAGCTCGCTCCCAGCACCCTCCACACCCCGAGCGCGACTCCCACTAGCGCACCACGGACTCAAAACCAAATCTCGCGAGATCTGCCTGCCGCGCCTTGCGGCGGGGCTCTGAGATCCTCCTTCCCCACACCACGTGATGCTCCCAGCCCTATCACCGGGTGTGTCTAACGGCTCGCGCCACCATGGAAACATCGCGAGCTCCCCCACCCCCACAAAGCCTCGAAACGCCGCGAGGCCTCTTCGCCTTTCTCCGGCATGCTGGTGAAATCTCGCCAATGAAATCTCGCGAGGTTAGGCGAGTTCCCCCAACCCCCCCACAGCACGATGCCGCGCAGGAATGTGAAAGGATCCCGCCCGCCGCCATTTTCTTTCTTTCTTGGCAAGCAGCGAGCGGGGAGGAAGCGGTAGGCGAGCGAGTATGGCGGACTACTCTACAGTGCCTCCGCCTGCTTCAGGCGCGCCCGGGGGAGGCGGCGGTGGAGGTGGAGGAGTGAACGATGCCTTTAAAGACGCACTGCAGAGAGCTAGGCAGGTGTGTGTTTGTAACTCGGCTCTACCAAATCAATGGGCCCCCTCGGCCTGGAGGCAGCCGCTGAGCAGGCCGCGGTGCCTTAGCCGCGGAAGGAGTTAGCGGGTTGTGCTCTGGGAAGACCTGCGGAGCGGGGCTTCTCCGTCAGTATGTGTCTGCGATGTGGAATGGCGGGAGCTTTGTCCTGTCTTGTTCCCTCGCCCCCCTCCGCGCACGCCGTGGCGAGCGCCCGCGGCGTCCGCCCGCCCTCCTCGGGCGGTGAAAAGCTTTTTCAGTCAGTTCCTGGTTCCCACTACTCCGCCATTGCCCGGTGGCGGACTGGGCGCTCGCAGTGTTTTTGGCCCGAAGCGATCAGCGCCTTTGCGGAGCGGCAGGATGAGGGGTGCGGCGCGTTGTGGTCCCTGCTGCAGGCGGGGAGGCGAAATCTCAGTTGGCGGTGCGGCGGCTTATCGGGCTCCCGGCGCCGTGCCGGGCCTCGTGGGTGGCTGACGGGCAGCGGGAGAGAAGGCGGTTCCTTCCGCGGCCCGCATTGTGTTCCCCGGGGCGCCCTCGGTGCCCGCTAACCTGCTCAAACCGGTTGGGAAGGGCTGCGGCCTGCGGAGTGAAGGCGGCCAGGGCCGTCTTGTAGGAAGTTCTTTATCCCGGAGTTCAGTCTGTAGCTTTTGCACCACAAGCGATGGTTTCATGATTTCTCGGGTAAAATTCTCACCTTCTCTGGTAATAACCGGTCGCGGTTTTGGCAGTAGTTGAAGGCCCAGCGTTATTGGGACTGCTGATGTTTGGAGTAATTTTAGCAGTGTGTTTGATTGTTGTTTTTTTTCCAGGAATAATGGGTAGAAAAGGAAAACCCTTTTCAGGAAAAAAGTTTCTGCTGTTTGAAAGGTAGTTGGTTTTGAGAATCATAGAATAGTTAGTGTTGGAAAGGACCTTAAGATACCTAGTTCCAACTCCCCCTGCCGTGGTTTTTTTTTTTGCCTTTTTTTTTTCTTTTTCCTTCTTCCCCAGGCGATGGAGAAAATGTAGGAAGGTTTCCTGTTGAAGGCTGAGCACAAATCTCGTTGAAGATACTATAAAATATAATTTATGTGAGGAAAACTGTTCCTAGCACCAGCCTTGTGCTTATTTTGTGTCATTGTAGTGTGCCTTGTATAAATTGCTCAAAATCTTTTGGAAGACCTGGAATAAATGAGGGCTTATTGGTGGATTTTTAGGTTTTTTCCCACCTCACAACATCTGCCTTTGTTTAGATTGCAGCAAAAATTGGAGGAGATGCTGGCACATCAATGAATTCCAACGACTACGGTTATGGAGGACAAAAAAGACCTCTTGAGGATGGAGGTATGCACTTGTTACTGCTGGATTTGGCTATTGAGTATGGCCATGGTGCTACAAAAATTGTAGGTGGTGTTTTTGGTTTGTGGGTTGTTGTTTGTTTTCCCATAGCACAGCATAAAAACATCTTGTGCCCGTTGTAGATCATTACATGCTTTTTCATTTTCGGTTTAATGGGGAAATAGTTTTAAACCATCATGCTCTAACCTGAAGTGAATGTAACCCTGTTATAAAATATTTTTAACATGGTTTAAACATTCTATTAACATGGTTTAAACATTCTAAAAAGGAAAACATATTGGGGGGGGGGGGGATAAATGCATGGTTGAGAAACTTACACAGATATATCATTTAAGTCTTTTGTAGTTGTGTAGGGCTGATTACAGTTTGTAAATTACCATTGGAGTAAGAAGTGCTCACTCTTTTGATTGTTTCATATACTTTATTATTGCCGTTTCAAATAAAACTTAATGCATTTCATTGTAAAAGCATAGGACTTTAAAAAAAGACAGGAAAGTGTATTTTCTATCTTGCAGACACTTTTGCTTAGTCTTAACATTTGCGCCTATAGCATGTGTGAACCCTGATAAGATCACATTTAAATCTTTTTGCAGCGTTTTGGATTTCCTTATACTGCAGTAAAGTTTTCCCTTGAAATGTGTGTGTGGTCTTCGGTCTCTTACTAAGCAGTCAGTTTGAACTTAACAGGGTTTGGTATGTTTAATAGACACACAGAATCCTGGCTAAATTGTGGAAAGAAATCTCTGAACTTGTTGTAATGTTTTCCTAGGTCTCACAACAGAGCAATGACTTTTTTTCCTTTAAGAGGATTGAAACTCAGTCTACAGAATGTAACTAGGGCTTAATATCAGGAGTTCTTGTGTAATGAAGTTTTTTTTCCTATTAACAGTGAGATTTTCAATATACAAAAATGAGCTAATGATGCTTCAGATGATATATGTAATGTATTCTTTTTATTTTATGTGTAGATGGCTCTTGGACAAGTCCGAGCAGTACAACACACTGGGAGGGAATGCCCTCTCCTTTTAAAGGCAGGAATTTTTATTTATTACCTGTGTTTAGTATGTAAACATGACATAAACTAGTGGATCTTTCTGGATTGACACAAATATTTCTTGGAATATGTGTCTTGAGTTTTTGCCACACATAAATTATGATGGTTCATATAACCTTTATTTTGGGGTGGGAAAGAAGCATCCAAAGTCTTGTCTTTTCAGGTAGAGGTTAATTATGCCTTTCATTCCTTTACTGTACAGAAAGGATTTGGATGGTAATGATGTAGTTGCTTTGAATCTGCTTTTTTTTGAAGTTTTATGCTATGAAATGCTTGATATTTGGATAGGAATTTCATATTGACATTCAGATTGAGATTGCATTTCCATGTGATACTGTTGTATTTTCTGATGTTTGATGTAGATTTGTGGTCATTGTCAGAGATTTTTGTGGGTTTTTTTTTTCCTTTAAATCATTGTTGATTTTTGTATGGGTTTGATTTATTTTTTCTCTTTTTTTTTTTTTTTAACTATAGAAGCATCATTAGCTTGAGCAACCAACAGCTAAACTTTGTTCCTTGTCTTAGTTAAGTTTCAGTGACTGGGTATCTATGAGCAATCTACAGTGTGTTCTGAAAACTGCCTTTTGTTAAACTACTTGAGTAGATACATGGAAAAACCTAACATCTTTTCAGCTATACTAACCAATTGCTGAGTGTTCGTGAGATTCTTTCTTCTGTTCAGATGATCAACTCCCTGAAATTGGAGGAAAAATAGGGAAAAAAAAATGAAAGGGGGACTAAAACACAGTGGAAAGTTACGATTCACACTAAAAGGTGTAAACACTTCTTGAATTTTTAGGAAAAAAAAATTCAAAAACATCTTAATTTTTCAGATCAACCAGATGCTAAGAAAGTTGCTCCTCAGAATGACTGTAAGTAATTTTTATTTGGGGGGGGGGGACGGGGGGACGGGGTAAGGAAAAATAAGCAATTGTGACATTGTCAAGAATCTGAAATGGTGTTCTGGTAGGTGATGCTTGAATTAATAGTACCAAATGTATGGCTGGGGGTTTATGTCTTGTTTTCTTGAAGCAATGCGAGTCTGCTTTATAAAATTGACAGTGTAGTTAGCAACAGTTGAGAATGGTTTTAGCCGTTTTTTAAAACTCTTGATAACACTTCTTAAAAGTCAAGTCGGACAAAAGTTGATCCAGCTAATTTTTATTATCAAAGGGGAAGCTTAGTTCTAAATTTTATCACTAGTTTGAATTTAATTTTAATGATATTTGTTTATAGCTTTTGGAAATCAGCTACCACCAATGCATCAACAGCAAAGGTAAGAGTTTGCATTACGCATTATGTAGAGTTTTCCTCTTTACTGAAAGAAAGTAGTTGCAGAATTTTTTTTCATTTTTTTTTTTCCCGTTAATTTTCAGGTGGTATCAGTGAGAGCTTACCTGAAAAGTAGCGTAATTGCATAAAGAATTACTTTCTAGTTGTGTGATTTGTTGAAATCTAGTTTCGCAAGTCCCAAGCCGAACACTTAAAACGCATCTATATTGTTATCTCTTTCTCTCTGCAGCCTTGGCTATACATCAAGTTTAGTAAAAGGAAAATGCCTTGCTGGTTTTTACTACTTGAGCATAGGTAGCATAACCTGAAGTTAGAAGCAGATCTGAAGGGGAAAGGGGTTGATACTATCCCTTAAACAAAAAGAAAAGCAATGGAATTCAACAAAAAGGAAAAAAAAAAGAGGGGGGTTCAGACTTGACACAGCATATTTCTCATATTTGCTACAGCATAGTAGTTTTCTTGAGTTATTTCTTCCCTAAACAACCATATCCAGCTATTACTATCGTGCTTGGCTTTTGGTTTTGATATGCAAGATGCTGGGATTGTGTATTTTCAGCATACTTAGATGAATATACAGATGAAACTTAAAATGCTACATTACCTTTTTGTACCTCACATCTTTTAATAGTGAAGAGGATGAAGGAAAACTCAGATTGATTCATATTATACTTGAACTGTTCATGATCACTTTTGTTTATTATCACTTTACTTGGTACTGTGCTTGCATAACAACTTTCAGAGTTGATGTGAGACATGAAAGCCAGGATGATAATGGGGGCAGTAGGTTTCATTAGTTTAATGGGAGGATATATATAGATTTAATGCCAGTTTGGTCTCTGAACGGTCTTTTTTTTTTGATGTAACGTTATCTGTAGGTCTGTGATGACAGAAGAGTACAAAGTTCCAGATGGCATGGTTGGATTCAGTAAGTAGTATGGATGTGGTGGTGTATAATGAGGAATGTTAGCAGATGCTGTTAATACAAATAATCTTTTGGTGTTTTCTTTCTCTTAAGTAATTGGCAGAGGTGGAGAGCAGATCTCACGCATACAGCAAGAGTCGGGCTGTAAAATACAGATTGCACCTGGTAACTATTTGTGGTTTTATTCTTTATTTTGGTGGGGTTTTTTTGGTAGAAAGTTCAGAAAGCTGGTCATTGCTTCTGGTTGCCTGAACCTTCATTAAAGGTGTATTTTAATTTTTTTGTGCTAATGGTAGTTGTCATGGTTTAAAGAAATGCAAAATTATTGTGATACATTAATTATTCTGTGAAATTCCAGTAGTTCATATATTATGTTTGATCACATAACCTCTTTCTGACTTTACACTACTAACAAATTTGTTTTATTTTATGACTGTAGATAGTGGAGGCCTGCCTGAAAGATCGTGTATGCTAACTGGAACACCAGAGTCTGTTCAGTAAGTAAAATAAATTTGGTGTGTTCATATTTAACTGTACAATACACTTAAATTTATTTTTTTATGATCAAAATGTTGTATCTAGATAGTATGTTCATAACACAGTATTTTTTCTTTTTTTCTATTGAAGAGGCAGTCTGGGGACAATTAAATATATACATAAGAAAAAAGGCCCTCAGCATCCTTGGAATTTTAAGACAAATACATGAAACCTCCAACTTTTCCCAGTCCAAACCTTGTAGATAATACATGGGGAAAATGTGGAAAAACAAGTAATGCATCAGAGTAGGAGTTACTCAGAGCCCAGCCCATCAGAGTTCCTAAATGGCTTTTGTGTAAATTAATGTATATCAAAAATTATTGTAAGCGGTGTCTCTAATACCTATCAGCAAAGTTAACTTTTGCCTTCCTGTGTTCAGGGAAGAGGATTGTAACAAAGTGTTCTGTTTGATTTGCTTTCTTTACTGGCACAGAAGTCATATAGTCACTTAAAGACCACCTTATCCTGGATATGCTAAGAAAGTTCTTAAGTGTAGTAGTGTATTTGGTACTACTTCATTTATGTTAGCTGCTTCCAGTTCAGGTTTGCAGGTAGAGGTCTGCAGCTGTGTGTTTTCCCTTGGGAAAGTAGCATGGTATTGTCATCTTATGTTGCAGCCAAGGATTCATGAAGTCATTCTTTACAGGAGGTTTTTCTTTCTAATTACAGTTTATTCCACTCACATATTATAGGAAAGGATTTTTAACTGATGTTAATACTGTAATCCCAGTTTTACTCTGATAGCAACTCCCATGTGGTGAATATATACTTACTTTTGTTCAATATTCTGGTAATGGCTACAAGTACATATGTGCTTGCTTTGCATGCTGATTGAAGCAGTAGCTATTGCAGTACTTGATGTTAAACCTAGGTTTAAACAGTGTCAGGGTTTTTTTTCCTTTTTATAGAACTTAACATAGACTAGATCTGCCTTAAGAATGGTTGATGGTACATTAAAGAAAAATTGCTGTCAAATTAGAGGTTACTCAAATTAATACTGAAATTAAGCAAAGTTAGAAAACGTTTTCTCTGATTTTTTTTTTTCTTCTTTTTAAAAAATGCACTAAAAAGGTAAACTGTAACAATGATTAATCATCTAATTAAGACTTTAAAAATATTTTAAAGGACAACATTTCCATCTTCTGAATTAAGGTTTGATCGGTGTGACTGTATTCAGGGATGATGGTGTGTTTGGTAAAGAAACACATTTTGTATTCTGACACTGGGCTGGTTTTAGATCTACCACATTAATCTGGCAGTTAATTTCTTAAATTATTCTTACAGATTTTCTGAGTTTGCCTCATATTAGTGATAGTGATTATATTTCTTCAGAAACTTTGCAGATTAAGAAAATAAAAATTTACAAGCAGAATGGGTGTGAGCAAGTGGCACTTGTTGGAGTATATATTTATAATACATATTGTATTATAATACATATTTATAAATGTATATATGCCTTCACAGATCAGCAAAAAGATTACTTGATCAGATAGTTGAAAAGGGAAGACCTGCACCTGGCTTTCACCATAGTGATGGACCTGGAAATGCAGTCCAAGAAATCATGATTCCAGCAAGTAAAGCAGGATTAGTTATTGGAAAAGGTGGAGAGACGATTAAACAGTTGCAGGTATGTATGTGTGTGTGTATGTATCATCTTGTAAAAATGTGAGATAGTCTCTAATCTGGATTTGAGTGGATATTGACCTCCCTTTTGTGAAATAGGAGCGGGCAGGCGTCAAAATGGTCATGATTCAAGATGGTCCACAGAACACTGGTGCAGACAAGCCCCTTAGGATAACTGGAGACCCTTATAAAGTTCAGGTAAGGAGTCCTTCAGAATTCAGAGCATTTTTAAATCCATTCTGATGTTGCCTGAATGATGTACCTAAACAAACTTTCATTCTTCTTTTAGCAAGCCAAGGAAATGGTGCTGGAGTTAATTCGTGATCAAGGTGGCTTTAGAGAGGTGCGCAACGAATATGGGTCAAGAATAGGAGGAAATGAAGGGATAGACGTAAGCATGGTTGAAAAACTTGTTCACTGTATTTTGAGATGTTAACATTAAAATGTAAAGCTGGGTAATACCACTGAAAGCTTTTAACCAGATTCCAAAAGTGGTTGTGGCATGTAAGTATTACTTGTTCATTGCTGAAATTGCAACTTCAGATGCCGTGCAGCATTCACTTTACATTACCAGCAGTTCTGAACAATTCCAACTAGCTGGATTTTTTCATCAAATAAGAGATAAGTTTTATAGCCAAATATACAATGTTACAGAAATTGGAGTTTGGCCTTTAAAAAAGGGTATTTAAGTCCACTTATTATGACAGTCATAAGCATGTAACTGTTGATCAGAAGTGACGCTGAAAGCTTCATCTGCTATAATGTGCATTTTAAGCGTGTTAGAACTTTTGTTCTTTGATTGTGGGAAGCATAATACCCACCATCAAAGGAATTGCTGCCACTATAAGAGCTTGTGCATAGGCTCTCTGATACTTTCATCCAGTTTTTGCTAGGCTTGTGACTGGATACTAAAAAAAAAAATTAAAAACTCACACTTTAAAAAGTAGCATAGAACCGGCCCTAGTTTACCAACCTAATATGTGACCCTTTAATTTTGTTAATTTGGCAGGAATATTTGCATCATTGATAGCTTGAATTTATTTTTTTTCTCTTTAAGGTTCCAATACCGCGGTTTGCTGTAGGTATTGTAATTGGAAGAAATGGAGAGATGATAAAAAAGATACAAAATGATGCTGGTGTTAGGATCCAGTTCAAGCCAGGTTCGTATTAAGTCCTTAAGTTTCTGTGAATTGAGTGTAAATTTACTGGATTACATATATTGGAATAGTTCATTTTTATTCCAGATGACGGAACAACTCCAGATAGGATAGCCCAAATCACAGGGCCTCCTGACAGATGTCAGCATGCTGCAGAAATTATTACAGATCTCCTTCGAAGTGTTCAGGTTGAGTAATACATTGTTTACTGTTTAAAGTCTCCTGCCTGACTTCTTGAAAGACATAAACATTTTAAAAATGAGTGTATAACTAAAGAAGATAATTTAATGGTGTCATTTGAATCTGCTTCAAAGTTGAGTCTGGAATGTGAATGTTTGCCTTTATAGTTACAGTTCTGCAAGTATCAGGATGACAATACTGATTCAGACTCATGGCAGCTCTTGATTTGACTGTTTCTAGTGCTGCTGCTTCTGTTACCTTGTATTAATAGCCTATATACTGTTAACCTTTGGTTGTGATCAGTGTTTTTAAATGCTTATTGTGAGATGGGCCTCACTGCTGCATTTACTGAAGGCAGAAATTATGTCTTTGTACCCGTGAAACTTCCTACTTGCTTCTATGTCCTTTCCTTCGTCATCTTTCATTCAAATCTATGAGTAGTGAATATTTTTTTTCTTAACAATTTGTTTGCAGTACTTTTTATAGAACATGCTAATTTGTTGCTTTTTCTTTCCAGGCCGGTAACCCTGGTGGCCCAGGACCTGGTGGTCGAGGAAGGGGTAGAGGCCAAGGCAACTGGAACATGGGCCCTCCTGGTGGATTACAGGAATTCAATTTTATTGTTCCCACTGGCAAAACTGGATTAATCATTGGCAAAGGCAATATATCTTACGCATATCTATGTGTATTTAAAACAACTCTCAGCTTTTCTATTTGTACAGGTAGTGGTACTAGAGAAAGGTTTCAAAAGAAGCCTTGGGAAATAGTTTCATATATAGTGGAGCAACACAATACTGCTAAATCACAACACTCATAATACCCTTTTCACATTTTCCTCACCAAGACCCATACCTCAGTACTTAAAAATCAAGACCCAGTAAATTTATGTAACTTTTTAAAGTAGTAAGTACTGAGTTGCATTGGTAGCGTTTGATAGATTCTTAGATGATCTAATTAACTTGCATTTGGTACTGTTTGATTAGCTTAGTGTTACTGTATTTCACTCTAAAACTACTTATCTTACTCATCTGTATCTCACTCTTAAAACTACTTTTCTCATATTCTAGTGAAGATCTTTTACTATGGGATCCTAGAACAATTTCTTAGTTGTGTGTTTATTAAAGCAGTTACTTCTCAAAGAATTTTATTTTATAAACAATTTACTGCATGCTTCCAAATGGAACACGTGAGTTATCTTAGTCTTCAGTTTGTAATGTCTTTTCCAGACACAGTACATAGGCTGACATAGTTCAGTTACTGACTTGGAAGGTTGACTGATCTTCTTGTTGTTGGGGTATTTTTGTTTTAAATGCAAAATGATCCTTGTTTTGGGAACTTTGTGCCTATTAATGATAGAAGTAACTTCTCAGGATCCTGTAAGAGGAGGAACTAGTTTAGGGAATTTAACTTTCCGGGTAAAATGTACCGCAGAATAGTTGTACTTTACCATCTGGTCAGTTTCTAGGTGTTTTTTGTCATCTGTGCTTGCTTACTGCTTTATAGGGAGGATGAGATTTAAGGTTGTATTTTCTGATAATTGTTGGGTATTGATTGATACTCATGTCTAATCTTCCATCTTCACATGAATGAAAAAGACATATTGTAGGGGTTCTTCGCTGTTCTTTCTCAGGAACAATAGCTTGATCTTTAAAAAATAGTTTCTTTTTACTAGTTTATTACAATGAAAGTTCTATACTAGACTGAAAAGGCACTTTTTAAAATTGTTTGGATGTTCTTGCACGGCTCGTAAGAAAGGTGCCTTTTCGTTTCTTTATCTTCAGTTTCCATGCATGTGACTTTTTCTGACTTGAATCTTAGTATTTTTGCTTCAATGCGTGTCATAAAAGCTGTATGTTGCATTGTAGGTGGTGAAACTATTAAAAGTATAAGCCAGCAGTCTGGTGCTAGAATAGAACTTCAAAGAAATCCTCCACCTAATGCGGATCCCAACATGAAGATGTTTACTATCCGTGGAACACCACAGCAAATAGATTATGCACGACAACTCATAGAAGAAAAGATTGGAGTGAGTATTTAACTATATTTTGGTTTACTGTCATAACTAAACAGAATAGGAGGCAAGTCTCCTTTGTGGAGATGTTTTTTCCATTTCACTTCCAAATTATTTAATCAAATAATAAGCTGATGATAGTAATAATGGTTATCTGGGTTTGAAGTAATGTAAACATAACTTGATGTACCAAAGGAAGCAATAACTTGATACAGAAGTAACAGTGGTTTTCTTCAGTGTAATACAGCATGGGTTTTAATGATGTGTTCTTGAAGATACCCACTTGGTGTGTAATGAAAAATTTGGTGACTTGAAAGATACATTTGATACTCTTAAAGCTACTAAGCTGTGTGTTTTTAGTTTTTCAGTCTCACGATGTTGAGATGGAGTTTTAATCTAAGTTTACAAACTTCAATTTAACTACAGTTTTGTGTATGTATGTAACCATATTTACTGCCTATTTTTTGTACCTGATCTTACAAACAGATTTAATTAGCAAGATTAATCAGATTTAGATGTATCAGTTTATTTAAAAACCCTGGTAGTTTTGTTTAGGTTTGTGGAAGAATCTATGTTGATTTGTAAACTCTTGGATTCCTCAAGAAGGAATTGAAACAAATGCACCTTTTTAGTTGCTGTTACTGCCATGGCTGGTTTTAACTCTTTAACTAGCCATAAGCCTTCAGGAAGACGGATTTCCCCAGGGAAATGGTTTTATTTAAAAACCATCAAACCTCTTAAATTACACTCTTAAAATGTTCAAGTTTCATCTGTGTGCTACTCTTGTTACAGGGTCCAGTAAATCCATTGGGTCCACCTGTTCCACATGGACCCCATGGTGTTGTTCCTGGCCCACATGGACCTCCTGGGCCACCAGGTCCTGGTGCTCCCATGGGACCATATAACCCAGCTCCTTATAATCCAGGGCCTCCAGGTCCTGCACCTCAGTAAGTACTGCTTCAGCTAGCTTCCTTTTTTATAGGGTGACCCTGGAACTGGCTTTCAGTGTATATGTGTGACTTGATCTTTTATAGTGGTCCTCCTGCTCCATATGCTCCACAAGGATGGGGAAATGCTTACCCACACTGGCAGCCACCAAACCCACCAGATCCAGGTAAGAAATGTCATAGTTACGCTGTAGCGTGGATATACTAAGGTATATACGTTTTGTCCTTACATGTATGTACATTTCACAATTCATTTGTGTTAACACTGGTAAATCTGAAAAAGCTCCTATTCTTCAGGCTTTTTTTTTCTGATTGTTAGTTTATGTATGTTTTACACTCCACATGTTTCTTGTGAGACATTGACATTCAGTTGTTAAAGTTGGAACGTGCTTCTTCACTAAACATGAAGTTCTTTAAGGAGGATGTTTTCTTTAATGGTCAATTACTTCATATTTTATTTTAAGCAGCGCCCATTACAATCTCACTGATCCTGACTTTGCACAATTTATGCTATATTATATATTTCTAGTTTTTGTTGACCTATATGAGATTTGCTTCTTAGAGTCTGATACGGATTTCTTCTGTTCAGTCCTTTATGAGGGATAAAATTTATGTTAATACAGTAATACTAGTTAGAATTGTGTATTTTAAGCTTTTGCTTGTAATAGTTTTGTATTTTCTTCTGAAACCCGTCTTTGTAGAATCTGTTTCTTCTATTTCTGTTTATCTTTGTCAAGACTAGGAGTTTTTATTTAATTACAACTTCTCGAAGTTGTAGTATCCTGCTTTTCTTTAAGTTACATCCTTTGGTTGGACTAGAGCATATGGGGAAACGGAACTGCAGTCAAGGAAGTCATGGTAAGGCTAGATGCGTGAGTCACTTGTACCTCATTTGTTTGAGGTAGACCTTGGTCGTCTTCACTTCAGCCAGAAGATGTCAATTTTATTTTTGCTATAAATGGAGTAAATATTTCTGATAGCTGTTGATAATGACACAAGTTCCATAGGTAAGAAAGGGAGGGCTCTGGGGGATGTTACAATCTATAGAGAGTTCTGTTCCTATCCAAGTCTTTTATATATCATTTCTAAGCAAAGAGCAATCTCTGGTTTCAGTTCACAGACTTTTATAAAAGGTTGATCTGCATGCATTCAGTTTAGAATTTGAAAATGTCTGTTGTATTACTTAAAAGTGGAATGATTCAAAGTGACTTGACTTTAAGTCTTAGCATATCAAAAGTGTCATTAAATCCAAAACCATTCCCAAAGCATTACAGCCTTTTTCATACTGTTGTTTTTTGTTTGGGTTTTTGTTTTGCCTTTTTTTTTTTTTTAAATTTACCTATGTAAAAAACTGTAAAAATGGCAAATAACCCTGGTGTCATCTTAATGCTGATAAGAGGTTTTTGTATAAATACTCCTGCTAAAATCTATTGACATTTTCTTCTGTGCTTTTCAAGTTGTTTCTTTCAACTAGCATTTCTTTGGATGAGCTTTATACAGTTTTCCACTTAGTTGTTCATTTCAGTGTAACAAATGGGTTATTTTAGTATTTTTTTCAGAGGTGCTTTTTCCAGAACCATGCTTGCTTCTTGTCACATGAAAGTGGAGCTAGTTACTACAGTCATATTTCTTTGGATATTTAATGAATCCAGCTCTGTGTTCTTCTACTCTAGAGGAGTAGCTACTAAGGGGAATGAGGGGGGGAAACGGAGCAATGGCTTATTTGATATTTGCAGGTAACCGTAGAACATAGTTTAAATGCATTATTGTTGATGGAAGCAGTGCAATTTAAAAAGGAAGCAGTGTGTTAACATTGTTTTCTGTATGCTGGGACTAATGTGTGCTTTTTAAGTGGTTATATCTGGCTTTAATGCTAAATGAAATGCTACAAGAAATGTGTTGGGGATTTCTTCTCCCTGATGCCCTTTTTATGGGGAGTTCTTTATCTTCTGTTAGTCACTGTCTTAACCTATTTTGTGTTTGGAGTGAATACACTTCTATTCCCATTTTAGAGAGTCAGTTATGTCTCTGTCCTTAAGTGAAGTTCTTTCCTCAGTTGGCTGCATTTATTTGCAGATATTTTTATCCTTTTAAGGATATAAATAATGTTAAAGGATGTTGTTTGCATTACAAAACATACATTCTCCAATAGTAGACTTTCAGTTTTTGTGGATTGCCAGTCTGGTAATGTAATCAATCTTTGTGATTGAACAAGAATAAGCCATTCCTAAAGGCTGTATGTGAAAAACAAAAACAAGGCTTTAGGAAACAGCATCATTGGCCTACCTAGATATAGTTAAAAGTAAGGGAAGCATGGAGATAGCAGCAGCAGATGTTGTACTATTTGTTACACTAAAAAGCTGTAAGCAAACAGTGATGCTTTATATCCGTGTATGGGGATTCAGGTTCTTAAAATACTATGTGTTTCTGTATTTTATTGTTACCTTAAAACTGACATGCATTGCAAATACCTAGTAAGATTTGTATTCTTCTGTTTCAGAAACATGCATTTGGCATCCCTCCTCCACCTGTGCCAGTGGTCATTAGTGTGATGTTATGACGAAAGTAAAATCACTGAGATTGGTGCTAGGATGATTCATTGTTGATAACATTTAGTACCTTGACTAAGAGTATGAACTTGAAAGTCTGATGCAGTTTGTCATGCTAAAAAATTAATAAATGGCATTGTAGTAGTTTTGAAACAATTTTCTTATCAGTCCTATGACAGTACACTGTGTACAGTACACTTGTCTGAAACATGGAAGTTTTTACTAGACTGAAGAGATAGTCACAGGATGTACGTGGTTATTTGGTTTAGATGGATTTTTCCTTGTAGGGAAATAGGAGCTGTGATGGTCGCATTCCATTCATACTACTTTTTATAAATGCTTACGTTATGTTTTCATAGGTAAACCAGGAACAGATCCCAATTCAGCAGCGTGGGCAGCTTATTATGCTCACTACTATCAGCAGCAAGCACAGCCACCACCTGCAGCCCCTCCTGGTGGACCAGCTACAACCCAAACTAATGGACAAGGTAGCTTTTAGTAAAATGGATATGTTTCTCATTTGTGGGGGCGTAGACGCCCTATTATTTTTTGTTGTTGTCTTCATATATAGGGTAAATTCATTGCAAAGGAGTCTGTTTTCTTGTGTTTGTCTTGTGAATTCCAGAGAGAATTTTGTTGCTACTTGGGCTAACTTAAAGTCTATGTAGTGCAGTCGTAAGTAAAAATGAAATGAGCCAAACTGTTGTCATATCCTTAAACAGTTGCACCACATGAGTGGTTTTAGGACAATTACAATTGTGGTATAAGTTGTATTAGTATAATTGTTACACCTGGATAAGGCTTACCACTTACATTTTAGGTAGTGCTTTGTACTGTGAGTGATATGCATTTCCTGAATTTTGAAAACATGCTAAATGTTTCAAACATTTCTTTGTTCCTTTGGTGTCTTTTACAAATAGTTCATATTTATAATAGTTTGTACCACATAGGCTTACAGTGTCAGGTTTGGGCTATGTTATTTGGGATTGTTACTTAAAATTTCATTTCATGATTTGTAAAATGTTCTACACATGAAACCAAACCTAGTTTTATTTTGACTATTTTTAATGTAATTCAGGAGATCAGCCAAATCCAGCACCAGCAGGGCAGGTTGACTATACCAAGGCCTGGGAGGAGTACTACAAAAAGATGGGTATGTGTGCAGGTGTTTTCTGTTGTCTCATGGTAGAATGTTTTAGAAGACTTGTGTATTGTGTTTGATAAGAAAGGTTGTTGTTTGGTTTGTTTGGGTTTTTTTTTAAACAAAATAAAAATGCACAATCCACATATATTGCTAAAGGCCCTGAAACCTGCAGTAAAACAGACTTAAAATTTTGTATTGTGCTTAAGGCATTTACTTGTATTCATGCTAGTTATCAACTTGCAAAAAATAGTTCATACCTAGTGAGATGTCTATATTTGATCATTTGGGAAACAAAATCTTTTAAATACTTCAATCTGAGTATTTTTAAGTATATATTTAAAGTATATTTTGTAAGTTCTGGAGTTCAACTTTGATATACATCATGAAGCTGTCTGATAGTTGTTTCCTAATGCTGATAACGTAAATAAATTTTTTTTTTTCTTGTAACTTGTTTTCTGTGTTCTAGGTAATGAAAGCATCATAACTAGCTTTCATTTACATCATGCCCTTTTTTTAAATAGTATTTTGTAGTACTTAAAATCTGTGTTTAAACTGCAGGTTATATGTTGTTGCTAGCTTTTTCAAAATACTTTGCTTGACCTGGCTTATGAAACTGAAATGTATTTGCTTGTTAAGTTGCATTTGTCAGAATAAGGAAAAATTAAATGGACATGATGCATTGGCAGAAGGTTCTATTATCTTACAAATCATGGTAATGTCTTCCAGGTCAGTGTTTTGTCCACAGTGTTCTCCCATGGGTGTTGTCATTGATGCAGATTTGTATACTGAGAACTAGTGGGCTTGCACATGCCAGTGCTTTCTCTGGTATCTCTCTTTGACCAGACATGTAGCAGCATCTGGTTTGGATTTTTGTTTCCTTGTTTGCATGGGAGGTTTAGCAAGTTGTCCTCTTCCAGCTGCACGCTATTTTCTCATGGGATATTAAGCATTTGGAGCTAAGATTAATAGCACATTTAATTGCTCTTGCCAGCCTTCTACCAGGTTGATATCAAATTATTTGTGAAGACATAACTACCTCTATTCTTATTTTGGCATAGCAAAAGTGGTGGAATGAAACATAAAATATGTAATGATGGTATACTTGGAGAATCGTGTATTGGACTAAGAAAACTGCAGTAGAACTCCCAGACACATGATTTTTTAAGATGTGATAGGCCTTTTCCTTCCCCCCCCCCCCCCCTTTTAGTGTTAGTTCATCTCACATTTTTTAATGGAAAGTTGTGTGGGGTTTTTTTCTGCTTATTTAAGAATGGTGTAATTTGTTGGCAGGGGCTCTGCCATCTTTGTAATTTGCTGTCTCTGGAAACCAAAGTGAGTGGCACTAGTCTTGCATTTGCTTGAACTAGCTAGTGATAAGGTGTTGGGATTGAGTTTTCTGGGAGGAAGTCCAAAGAGGAGTATGAACCCAAAAAAGACATTGGGCGATGTAAATAAAAGCTCTTCAAATGCAAAATTATAAAAAAAACTAAGTCAGCAATCAAATAAGAGGAAAAACAGAAATGCAGTTTTGATTGACTTTTTCCCTTTCTATTTCAGATTGAGTTCTTTCCTGAAGGAGAGCTCTTGATGTCTAGACCTGTATAACTTGACTCTTTAAATCATGAGCTCGAGTGTGTAAATCATGACATAATGGTGGTGAGGCACTGCAATGAGTTGTCCGGAAAAGCTGTGGATGCCCCATCCCTGGCAGTGTTCAAGGCCAGGTTGAATGGGGTTTTGAGCAGCCTGGTCCAGTGGAAGGTGTCCCTGCCCATGGCAGGGAGTTTGATCTTTAAGGTCCTTTCTATTCTGAAAGTTTTACGAGAACTTTTTGATTCATCAGCATGTTGAAAATCTTAATATGGAAGATAACATTTCTCTTAAGATCCACTTCGAACTGACTAAGTGGGGTTGAAGGGCAGAGAATTCACCTAGAACTGAGTTAGTGCTAAGTGGTGTTTTTCCCCACCTCCTTAATAGCATTAAGTAGTACAAAATCTGATGGAACAGGAAGGCTGACTGTCAGCGAGTTCATGTGGTCTGCAGGCTTTGAGATGCAGTCTCTACTGTTTGTGCTTCCTCCTGTACTTACTGTAATGCTTCTGTCCCCATTAACTTATGTCCCTATTAATATAAAAAAAGGGAAGGTAAGAATTACAAGTTACTCACTGACTTTTCTTTCAGATTTTTCACAGCACAGATAATTACACAAGCAGCTGTTACGGGGAACTGAACTAAAGCTTGGAAAGTGCTGCACCCAAGCAGTTTTAGTTTTGCTGCTGAAGAAAACTCTTTCCATAGTGCATGGGGCAAACTTATGAGGGTGGCAGTACTGAGATGGATCTGATACTGCAGTTGGTGATCAGGATTTTCTCATGGTTTTTTAAGTATTGAGTGAGTTGTAAACTAAAGCACCTCTGAATACTACCATTAAAACCATAATACTGGTTCCAGAATGGCTTCCTACTGGTACAGTATGACTTGGCTATTGATAAAAACCACTTTCCATGTTTTTACAGTATACAAAACAGTGACTAGAAAATAACCTGTTTCCCAACTCAAAAATACAGTGGTAAGATCCATCTCCTTTTTCAGACTGATATTTTGGTCCTAGACTTGCTGAGTAGCAAATACAATTAAAAATAAAAATGAAAGCTAGTAAACATATTCATATACACTGATAGGTTGCTGTACATGGATCTTGTAGGTGATCCAGACTATCTAATTGCTTGGTACCCTACTTGATAAATTCAGAAAATTTTGTTTGTAATTTCCCTTGAGTATTACCAGGTAACAGAATAGTTTGGCTTTTGAAGACATAATAGATGCTGTTATCTTGAGTTGGAGACATAGTGTTTTTAGTTTTCCTTGAGAGCTGAAACAGATTTGCGTAACTGGGCCCTAAAAATCTTGCAAGGGTAACAGCTCCCTTGAAACATGAAGTTCTATTTTAGTAAATGATCGATATGTCACTATAGCAGTTGTTATCTTTTAAAGCCATTCTTGTGGGCTTGATTTATAATGGAGGAATTCCATAATAAGACAGTGGAACTGTTCTTTAATGATTCCTCACCACTGTAGCAGGAAAAAGAACAAAGAAAAGTTTTCTCTTACTGAAATCACCCTTTATGATTTGAGTAGTGGAAACCATGTAGAAACATCAGTTTTTTCTTTCTTAGCCTTCTTGATGGGGATGTACTCTCTCTTGTGTTTCTTTCGTGTGTAGTACATCAGTCTTGTTCATTGGTATTCCAGTTGTATCTGGATATTAATGAACATTTACTGTTTCAGTGTAATTCTGTACACTGAAAGGAAGTTCTGACTAAACTGCTGAACTCCGTGAGTAATTTCAGAATTACTTGCAGTACTTAGTACAGGAATGATGCAGCTAAAATATTTTGAATCCTTATTAACCTGTTTCAGAAGAGAAGTCCAGTTTGACATTTTTGAGTAGATCAAACTTCATATATTTGGTTTGTTACTCGAATTTCAGTACTGCCTTCTTGAATGTCAGAAGATTCTTTGGTCATAATACACAAAAAAATGCCTTAGCACATTCAGCTGTGCTGACAGTTATGACATAGCTAAATAATTTATAAATAGAATTATTACCTCAAATGAGTAGTGTGTCCTGGGATAATTTGTAACCATATTAAAATCATTCTGGTTAAAATAATTGTTCAAAAGTATAAATTATAAGTGTGACAAATTGTAAAATGTTATTTCAGCTCTTAAAATTTAAAGAAGCTAATTGCTTTACTGTATAACCTCAGAAGTGATGGAGAGGGTTTTTTAATACATCTACAGTGTAAGTGGGAAAACTCTTAAGTTGTATAGACAGTTGGAAAATGGAAGAGTTGCCAACTGTTTCCATTCTCTGGTCGCAATGTTTTTGAGAGGATTGAAAGAAAACACGTGTATGTAAGAGCATGCAGATATCTAGTATTCATGTGAATTTTCTGTGTAAAAATATTTTATAAAAAACAAAATCAACTTCTATCTGATACCCTAGAAAACAGTTCATTGAAACCTTTGATACATGTTCCCCAGCATTAATGGTCTTCTGTGCAAATAAAAGGTGAGTTGGGTTCAGGTAGGATTGAAAACTTTCAGCCATCATTGTGTGGAACCTTTTTCATGGTAGCAGGATAAAAGATGAGAGGCACATGGAACTGTACAGGGTGCAGGCTTGCATTTTTTCTTGATGGTTATTGGATGCTGTGGTTGGTTTTGTAGTGTTTTTTTTTTTAGTTTTTATAAATTTTTTAGTATCCTAGAAGTAACTTGTGGAGAAGGTGGGGTTTCTGACTGTAAAACTTTGATTTGACAGATACCTTTTAAGAATGTAAATACAAAAATGTCATATCACAGTAGTAATAGTTATTTTTAAAGTTTTAAAGCTGCAAGTTGTATTTGTTGGAGGGACTGGTAGTTCTCAGCTGTAAGTCTGGGAAAGTGACTTTATGTGTACATGCTATTTCCAGAGAATTGGAACTTGAATGAAGGTTGGAAGGAGAAGTTTCAGGACTGTATTTGTTGGTGGAGTAAATGTTTACAAAAACAAATGCTCTCTTTGAAAAATGTTATCTGCAGTAACCTAGCAGTTGCATTAAGGAGACCACAATTGGGGTAATGAATTGGGGTAATGGCATCTGGTGAATTTAATAATACATTCTGTACAATAAGATAAAGTCAGTCTAGATGGATTACAGAAAGTAATCTTGCCTGTTGATCTGTATTTTAGTTTAATTGATCTGTATTTTAATTTAATTGCTGCTGTTTGTTCAGGTCAGTTTAAGTCAGCAAAGACTTCTGCTTTGGAACACCAGTCGAGGTGGAAAAAAATTGTCCTCACAGTTACTTAATTTTGCTTTACATGGGAATCTTTGCATTAAAATAATAGGATGAGTGGTTAGGTGAAGGAAAAAAAAAAGCAGCCACAAGATTATTCTGAAGCTGAGGAGGAATATTGCAAGACTCTAGGTGATGTTTGCTGGGCAATGAGACGTCAACATTTTCTCATTTCTGTTGCAACAACCAAGCTGTATCATTTTAATTACTTGTAGGTCAAGCAGTTCCTGCCCCTGCAGGCGCTCCGCCAGGTGGTCAGCCGGATTACAGTGCAGCATGGGCTGAGTACTACAGGCAACAGGCAGCATATTACGCCCAGACAAGTCCACAGGGAATGCCACAACATCCTCCAGCACCACAGGTATAAAGTTGAAGTTTTTTTTTTCGGCTGGCTTCTGTTTCAGTGGTTATATATTTTTGCATGTCTCCTGCTTTGTTACCTTTGGAGTATGCATCTTTTTTTTCTAGCGAAATAACTATCAGAATAATTAATAGATTACTTTGTTTACCTGATTACTCAAATTCTGTATCTATCCATGTGTTTGGTGATTATGTTTTGGGGTTTGTTTTTTTGGTTGTGTTTTGGTTTTTGTTGTGTTTTTTTTTTGTTGTGGATTTTTTTAAGAAAAACTTTTTCCTCCCAGGGTTTTGAAAACCATGCAAGAAGCCACCACCATTTACATTAACCAGTTTTTCTTTCTTAAAGGCTTCACTCCTGAGTTAGCTCGATTTAAAGGATTTTCTTTAACTTTTTGTGTATCTCTTATGTATCTCTTCTGCACAGGGCCAATAATAAGAAGTGGACAATACAGTATTTGCTTCATTGTGTGGGGGAAAAAACCTTTGTTAAATGTATGGATGCAGACGCCTTGATGAAGATCTTAATTTTGTTTGGTCAAAAAAAAAATAGTGTTTTTGAAAATGTACAAAATATCTATCACTACTGATAGGAGGTAATATTTCTGTGTAGAAATGAAAAATGGTTTGTTTTTAGTATTAGTGTAGATGTACACATTCCAGCAAATGTATTTGCAATTATGTGGTCAATGCTTTGTGATATAAATGTACTTTTTCAATGTATACTTTATCACTTTTAAAATGCCTGTTTTGTGCTTTACAATAAATAATATGAAACCTCCTGTGTCGGTAAGTTGGATATGTGGGTATATAAAGAATTATAGGATTGTTTTGCAACGCTGAATCAAGGTACCTGTACACAAATGAGCTTATTTTTCCCCCAACCCATGAAACCTTGTTGAGTTTAAAAACTTGTCATTGACATGTTTTTCCCGTCTTGCAGAATAGTTGTAGGTGGAGGATCTCTTTCATTCATTGTATTTGCTGCCTAGCACCAGTAATCTTGATACCTTAATTTTCTTTCCATTTGAGTAAAACTGCATGTGTTTAAGACAGTGATTTTTTTTTTGGCATACTTCCATTGCATTAACAGTGAAATTTCCTTTTATACATGACCACTGTTTCAGACCTGTGCAGCTGCTATAACGTAATTTTTGTTCTTGATGGAATACTTCAAAACTGTTCCTGCATAACTATTTTATGGATTTTTTCAGACTAGTTATGAAAGTTATTTTAAGTATAATGTGCTTAAGCCTTCAGTTTAAAGTAGTCCACTTCAAAATTCAGTGTAGAAAAGTCAATGTGGTATGCGTAGTAGTTACAGGAATTGCATCTGTCCTTAAAACACTGTTTTGTTTGAGTTATGGGGAGTGTTTGAGAACTTCCTGCAGAGCAAAGAACTTGGTTTTGTAAATACTCAAGCATTTGAATCAACTGAATATTTTTATATATACTTGAAACTTCTTACTGCTCTAATGCTCATACTAAAAATCTGATTCTCTTAAAATCTTATGTTTGCTCTTTGCATATTTATTGGCTCTTTGCATATATTAGACTACATGCAATACAGTCTGTCTTGCCATTGTCTGTTGAAGTGCAGGTTTGATCCAGCCAGTATAGAACTAGCTCTATAGGGGTGAGAAGGACTGTGCTGTGTATCATCCTTGATTGTTCCTTCAAGGAGCATTGCACTGTAAGTACATCAGAATGACAAATTGATGAACTGCAACAGTATCTTTTTGTCAATGTTCCACATAATGAAAATGCCATACTTGTGTAACTATTATGTTGGAATACAGTGCTAATACCTTAGGAAACCGTAATTACTTCTTAATTCAGAAACATAGGTTTGCGTATATATATGCACATACACATAATATGAGCTTTTGGGTAAGTATTTGTGAACCGTTCAGCAATAGCTAAAAAAAAATTGTGTTTCTTTGTATCTGAGTAATAGTGTTTTTTTTTATTAGTACTCCTGAGACAGGTGTATTGTTCAGTGTTTTAAAGTATGCGTATCGTAACACTCAAGTCTTTGGAACAAGTTGTTAGACAGAAGTTGTCTTTGCCTTCAGCTAGTTGGCAGATACATAGTGATGTAGGTATGTTTTAAATCTATAACTGTTAAATTGCTTTATCTTTTGGAACACCATATTGTTGCTTTGAGAATAAGTTTTTTTTTTTAGGGTGGCTGCACAGAAGTTAAGGCTTGAAAACTGAAGTAGTTATTCAAGTAATTAGCAATGTATATATTGTGCTGTAGAAATAGAAGGAATTCTTTTTATCCATTTTAAAATTAGGAATTATTCTGGTAGCTTAAAAAAGGCTAGGACAGCATTTGCTATCTTTAGGGTAGGTTATGAAGTTTAATAGTTCAGATATTTTGCATGGTATTTTGTAGATAACCTTATAGATTGGTGCATTTATTATGTACTAAACTGAGCAGAATTAAATTCAGTGGATTCTTTTATCATTCACAAAATGGAGGCTGTTGATTTTGATTCATTTAAGGTATAAAATCTTTATTAATTGCAAACAGTGCAATTATTTATACTTCACAGTGCCTTCCCAGACCTTCCACCTTAGGTTCTGCTGCAAAAAAGCAACAGGTAAGCACAACCTAAGGAAGTATATAAATTAATATATTTCAGTACATTAATGTTGTCCCTGTGAGATCTTTGTGGTTGTGTATTGAAAAGCAATCTGCTTCCCCAGATGCATTGTTACTCACGGTTCCATTTCAGTGGAAAGTCTTTTTTAAACAACTGTTTATATTTCTAGGTAAATATGTAATTTTTTCTTTTTTTTTAGACGAGATTAGTAGATTGCATTAAACTTGGTCAGAATAAGTAATTTTTGTTATTTTTCCTCAAATAGGTAATTGTTGCAATTAAAGACTCAAACATTTAAAATATGCAGGAATTGTTTTGGTTAGAAACGTCAACAGCCTTCACGAATGTTTTTTTATAATAGGGCACTATTACCACTTGAATTTGTGAGACCTAAATATGAAGAATATTGCATCTTGTTGTTATCACTGAACTTGATAACTTGTCTTAACAGTTATAGTGTGTTAGTGGAATTTTTAGATAACTTAGTTTGCTTATTCATGCTTGACATGGTAGGAAAACAAATTCTGGAGTTTCAGAGATTAGTATATTTTAAATGAAAAAGCATGTGCACCAATTAAATGTTAACAGCAAATAATATTTTATCTGTATAGCAGCCAGTGTATCCTGTTTCTTGATACTTTAACTGAATTGCTGTATATTTTGATAGTTTAAAATGTTTGTATGTCTTATAGATGGTCTGGTACAGGTTTTTGGTTTGGGTGTTGTTGGGGTTCTTTGGGGTTGTTTTTCTGGGGGTGCTTTTGTGTTGGGTTGTTTTTTTTTTTAGCTTAATGTAAAGCAGCATCTGTTTGGGGTTTTTTTGTTGATTATTCTGTTTCTGAAATGTGCTGCTTTTGCAAAAGTCCTGCTTATCTGTACATCAAAGAAAAATATTCAAAAATACTGCCTTCATTTTCACACACAGTGCTGAAGATGCTGCAAGCACCAAATCATAGCTCATAGAATCAGGTCCTGAGATAGTTACTACCAGTAAAGAGGAATCCTTTGAGTGTATGCCATTGGTGAGCCGATGAGCATGGACCATAGAAGGGCTCCATGTAGAAGGTAAAATTGGCAAAAACATAACAGATTTGAAATGTATCCCATACATAATGGTGTAGGGTATAATTTTTGTTCTGATCACTTTTCATTCTTTAAAGTATTATTGTTTGACCATAAATGTTCCATAATCTGTTAAGTTTTTTAAACTGTGATTTAATAATATAAATCATCTATTTTAATTTATATTCTTCTAAACAGTCAAGCTTAGATATACTGAATTTTTGAACTAAAACCAGTTGTGCTTCAGTTTCTCAAGCCACTTAATATTTCATCTGTAGTTTAATATGTAACTTCATTTTTGGCATGAGAAAAGGTTAGGTGTGTACATTTGGATTTTGATAACTGTGAATTTAGTGTTGGGGCAAGTCACTTATTCACTTCCTTTTACATGATACTTTTTTCTTCAACTGTTGTTCTGAAATATCTTGAACAGTCTTTCAATTTTAGACAGTGGGAGGAGATAAGAAAATGCCAGTTGGATGTTGCTAGTGTGTGGAAAGTGAGATGTTCTTGTGTGTAGCATTTGAGGTGTACTGACTTGCAGCTTTCTCACTGCTGAGCTTACACAGCATGCTGTTCTTGCTAAGCATAGTGTTTACTTTTCAAGTTTGTCTCCAAGCTCATGGTTCTTGGCAGAACAGGAGCAGATTATGGGAGCTATCCTGATCCAAAAACATGACTGGCCTTGCTTAGAAATGTAATTAACTTGTCCAAAAGGTGTCTTTAAATGTTTCCTGCTTTTCCGCCCCGCCCTTTAGAGTCCTGCAGGTTTAGAATGTGAAGAATACAAAAAGTTTAAAAAGGAAAATATAATTTTCAAAGTAGTACAAGTGTTTTCGTATCACTTTCTGTAGCCTGTACTTTAATAGGACATGAAATAAAATGTCAGGTGGATAATCTTCAGTCTAGCTTTATCATAAGTCTTCTAGTTTAAGTTGTCCAGGCAGAGAGGATCATTATTCACTTGCACAACCTCAACCTATCTTCAAGAATTTGTCCTTTTACTAGTGGCATTTTATGGGATGATAGAAATTGTTTCTCCCCTGTTCTCTTCTGAAGTAATGTTTTAAGTTATTCCATTGCATGGTAGAAGCTTTTTATTTTGCTTTTTTTTCTGGAAGAGGGGGGAGGAAAGGGAGGTCTGGGCTTTTCAGAAAGCATACAGTTGGCAGGATTCCCTCTTCCCTCGTAATAGCTTATAAAACTCTTTTATGTATGCACAAATATTTCTCTTGCGTGCATGTGAAATGCCTTTTCGTCCTGAGAAAAGTGTTCTCTGCAGAAACTACCCGTGTGTAAAAAGAAGATTGGCTTTAAAAGGCAACTGTGATGGGAACAGTGTCTTAGGGAGATGCAGCTTGGACTGAGGTAAATTGAATGCTTTACAAAAATGTGGTTTTGAGTTTGCATTGACATTGTATGTAATATGGGTTACACGTTAACTGTATTACGGTTTTTGTATGTTTTTTTCTCAATAAATGTAAACTGATGGATAATAATAGCAATGGTTTTGTCTTTTTTATGCTCCTCTTCCTGCCTTTGTTAGTTTTAGATTACAGTTTCAGAGTAAAGATTTTGGCATTAACTAGTACTTCTGTGAACAACACCCACATGAAATGAAGTAAAATATATTTATATGGCTAGAAGGATAAATATTTATTCAAAACATAATGCAGCTTATTACCCTTTTTTTTTTTTTCAAGACATTTCTGAATTTGTAACTTTTTTTGATGAAAAAGAGGAATTCTCAGTAGGTGACTGTACAAAGAGCAGTCAGCAGATTCAACCACAGGAAAATTTCTTTCTGAAACTGCATGAAGCTAATTTGCTGCAGGTACTGTCTTTCTGTTAAGGCTTATACACATGTTCTTTAATTTAAAATGTGACTATTGTTCATAAAATTACTCCTGCTGAAGCTGAAAAACTCAGATGGTGTCAGCTGAATGACAGTTTTGATGTCAGGAGGCCTTAGAAAGAACAGCCTTAAGAAGACAATGTTTAGAGATGCAGCAGTTTATTGCATTAAGAAAGAACAAAGATTGAGAAGTTAGGCACTTTTTGAAAATAACTTTCTTAAAGCTTGCTTCCCATCAACTTAAAATATGAGCCTGCCATAGCTGTTGCCAACTGTTCCTGTATCATTTAAGCAATGAAAACATTAGCAGTTTTACAAGCAAATGTTGGTACTGTGAAGACTACTATAAGCCTTACTGGGACTGTTTTACTGTTTTTAGTTTTTTATTGTCAGTGGCAACAACAAGCAGGCCCATTTTAAAACAAAATAACCAATGCTCTTTGAAACAAAACAACAAAAGTGAGCAGTTACTTAATCTTTTATTCTTTAAAAATAGTACACTCGAGTTTTTGAAAATCATCAATAAGTATTTCCTTTGGCCAGCTCAGTGCCTCTGAGATAAAGAAAAACAGCTTAAATATTCAGTGTTCATGCAAAATATACCAGTAGATTTACACTACTACACAAGTTTCCAGATTGTTTATTTAGCTTTATACTATTACACAACAGTTGGTCTTCAAATGTGGGAGCACTCTAATAATTTAGCTTTTTTCTTTAGTTCATCATTCATACACTGATTCCTTCTTTTTAGTCTTTAATACCAATTTCTGTACTGAGAAGGAACCTGAACACTCTCACAACTGAAGATTATTCTTATCTGATGCAGGAATGACAATGCATATCCTTGCTTTCTTAAGTTGGCCCCATCAGAGAAAGAGATGATGCAGTAAGAAAGTTTTGAGGAGAAGAAAGATTCCAGCTAAAGGAGAGCATTAGTAGTCATCAGCTAGAAAAGAAAAGGGTAAGAGAAACAGATAATTAGATTTCATAATAGGAAAGGTGCAAGAAGAATGAGAATGAAGCAAATGAAAATGCTAACTCTTACTTTCAATGGTAAGAATACAAGTGCTAGCAGATGTGCCTCTGTTGTTGACTGCTTTACACATATATTCCCCTTCATCTTCTGGGAAGGTTTCTGGCAAGTAAAGGCAATAGGTTTCTCCTCTTTCGATATATTGATAGTCCTCAGAGTCCTGCAACATTTCTCCCTCAAACCACCATGTAACTTCAGGTTTCGGTTCTCCAGTAATTTTAACTGTAAATCTCACTGGCTCGCCATCAACAACCGATGTGTTTTTCAGTGACTTCTTGAACCAGGGTGCTCCAGATCGAGCTTGATCCTCCTCATCTTCACAAGTAGAACCATTAATAATGCTTCCCTCCTCCTCTTCTTCCTCTTCCCTTTTCTGTTTTAAAATAAGTTGATTTAGAACATTTAAAGTGGCAATAGCAGTATGCCTGTCAGTGATAACATATTTGATTACAGAAAGTTACCACATTTCTGAGAAGCTGAAATGCCACCTATCCCACTAGATACCATAATGCACTGAATCTAGATATGGAACAAGCGAGGCTATAATCTTAGGGCAAAATACAAGCAGAAAAAAATCCCGTTTTCAGACTATTCAGAGGATACTGCAAGAAGAGTTCATTGTATCTCTGAATGCATCAAGAATATGTGAAAACACCAAAAGCAATTTTACATTATTGCAGCAATTCACAGCAGCTGTTAAAACAGCATAATGTTCCTTTTATACCTCTAGCAGTGTTGCCATCAATGCTAATCAGAAGCTAAGTTACATGACACTTAGAACTGAGGAATAGGCACTTTGTAATTTATACCTTCTGTAATGCGGCATCAATTTCTTTCTGTTCAAACTGCATGCGTAGAAACTTCTGTTCTTCAATTCTTCTCTGCTCCTCTTCTTCCCTGGCTCTTGCCATTTGCTCAAAACGGGCCTTCATGTTTACTTTGTGAGTAAATGGAGCCTCAGATTTCTTAGCTGGTCTCACATCTACCTCATCATCCTTGTGAAGGGGAAATTAAAAAATAGGGCTTACTTAACTACCTTTTAAATATGTGTAATAATAAACTTGAGTTTTGTAGAGCAGTAGTTCTTAACTGAACAAAGCCATGCAGAGTCCTGTTTTTCTCAGAGGTTTGCTGTTGGGTTTAAATCAAGTCTCTTAATAGCTTATCCCAGAGACAGCAAAATACTGGCAAAGTGATTTCAAAAATGCTGGGTAGAAAAGTACTCCTAAGGATTTATTTTCATATAAAAGTTGAATACTGTCATGTGGCAGTGGTAAATCCTTAGTGACTTGAGTTTCATGCCATAGTGTTTGGGGTAGCTTCAACAGCTAACACAGGTTGACCTTATAGAAAAATCACTACAGTGTCAGTCATCAAAAACTCAGAAATAAAAGGTAGGTGTTGAGCTGATTCTGAAGTGACTGACCACTGTGAATGAGAACCTCAGAATGAGGCTCAGATCAGGCTTGCTGCTGTAAAAAGTTTTGTGCACTGGCATGTGAAACATCATGAAAGCTGACATTAGTGTTTTGGGTCACAGAGCATTGGGTTGATTTATTGCTTAGACTGATAGCTTAATTTCGTGGTTTTCCCCTCTGAAAAATGCCAGAGATTCCAGTCTAAGGCATAGATAAGTAGACTTCCTTTTCTGCTCTATCCTGAGAAATGAGTAAAGATTCTAAGATCTGATCTTCAAATGGTATTGTTTTGTTTTTTGTGTTTTGGTTTTAATTCATACAGTAGAGAATGAATTAGAGTTCAGAAGGGGAAGCCATTTGTGATGATTAACAGAGTAATTCTCAAGAATATTTCAAAGCCTCAGGCTGCCAGGTTTCAGACTGTTAAGATGCTGAATTGAGGACTTTGAGCAGAAAAGATGTATGCTTCACCAGATGACTGATAATAAACTAGTGCTGTTTCTGTCAGGGATGCTGAGGTGGGAACAGGAAGGAAGGGAGAAAATAATTTTGGAAATGTGGCAAACTTTGAAAGCAGCAGTACTGTCAACCCCTGGATTATCAGTGCAAGTTAAGTACATCATTAACATAAAGAGAATGCAACTTACCTCTTGAAATTTTTCAGCTTCCCTTTCTCTTATTTCTTCATCCATTGCTCTTCTCTTTGCTCGCTCTTCTTCAATCTTCTTCTGTATTTCTTCTTGAGACAGCTGTCCTATTTTTTCAAATTTGCTTTTTAAGTTCTTTGCCTGAATAGAACCACTTCTTTTTAGCTTTATTAATTCTTCATATTCTTTGCTTAGCTCGAAAGTTTCACATTCTTCTTCCAGCTGTTCAGAAATTGCAGAATGATAAAGATGGAAAGTGCCATAGGTATTTTTACTACCTGTTCTCCCCACAGACAGGTGTAACTTAATACACTTGAACAGTTCTCTTAGTTATTTGAAATCAACATAGACATTTTCTCTGTCTTTTTTTTTGTTTGTTCCTTTGCTATTCTCTAAACTAGATACAGATTTTACAGTATCTTGCTTAAATGTACCCTTTGTTTGAAATTGCTTTCAATAAGCCACCTTTCACAGACTCAGAAAACCGGACACCTAGCAATACAAAGAACTTAGTTATCTTGGATCAAGAATTTACCTTCCTGGCTTATTGCAATATGATATGAAATAACTTTCTAAAATACAGCTACTTTGTTAATTCAGTAAAAAGCGAATGAGATTTCAGGATGTTGTGGCTGGAAAAGAAATGTCAGTTCTGGATCTTGTAGTCAAACCCTGTCTGAAGCTGATATTGTTACTATTTTACTCCCTCCTTTTATGACCTCTGCCTGACAGTTAAGATGCATATGCATTTTAGTTGGAGGACCCTGTCTCTCCCTTCTTCCCCAGCATGTAATATGAAATTTACTTAAAAAGTTTAGGTGAATAAAGGCTCCAATATAAGCTGGAGCCTTTATTACTCACTAGCTTAGCTTACCTTAACAAAAACGTAGTCCTCTAACATTCAAAAGAAATTAATAAAGAATCGCCACCCCCAACCAAATCAAATTGAAGCATAAAGTTTATGAACGTGATGTTTTAAACATCTGGTATGCAAAGCAAATTTTGTGTGATTTTTAAGATCAACTGTGACAGTCTTCAAACCCTTGATACACTGACTAGAAATAAGTTGAGGCCACTGTAATCTTTCCTAATTAGTTAACACCGTATTCCCTTGAGGAAAAGCAAGAATTTTGCTCTTTCTTAATTTCAAGTTTGTATTTTCATTTAGGAACTAGATGTTTCTGCTCTTCTGTTATTGTAAATACTACATAATAGCTTTAGTAATGCTGTAGAATTTTCAGAAGTGGCTGTAAAATAACATTAGAAGTTTGAAATTGTGTTTTTACTTTTAGGGTGGCAAGAGATAAAAGCATTTTCCTGGTAGATTAGTGATAAAAATATTTTTTTAATTTTGTGTAAGATGTATATGTTTTTCTATTTTTCATTCTTTTCATATAATGCTAGAAGTACTGATTTAAAATTGCTTCTAAAGGAATATTTAGTGACATTCTTAAATGATAATAACCGAAATTATCTATTTACTTTTATTCAGAATATGCATAGCATATCTTTTGATATACAAACCTCTCCCATTTCTTGTCTCAAC